ACCTCTCGCTGGCTGATGGCGCGAGGACCTGGAGTGAAGTCGAGCGTGTCCCCCTGCAGGGGGGTTTTGGGCGCAAAAAAAAAAACAAAATACCCCCCAAATATGAATCAACAACTCGTCCCCAGACTCATTTTTGACGATTTTTGAATATCCCCCCTGTAGAGGGACAGGCCCAACTTAAACCTGGAGGCGGACATTGAGCATCAAAGAAGCGGGTCCTGAGGGAGACGGGTCCCGGGTCCCTGGGGCCCTCCCCTGCGACCAGTCCTTCCTCCCGAGTCGCTTCCTGGCGGCCCCGGGGCCCGTGGAGGGCCCGGGGCAGCCACAGACAGCGAAACACCTCGAGACCCTCCCTCAGGCCTCGTCCCCTTCCCGACGAGCCGCGGAGGCACCCCCTCGGAGGCAGCCCCTCGGAGGCATCCCCTCGGAGGCTCCCGCGGCCTCCGTGCCGCAGCGCACGCTCTCCGCTCGGCCTGCGGCGCTCGGCGAGGCGGAGCCCTGCGGCCACGAGCCCGCGCCGCGGCGCCCCGGCGCAAGCCGGGCGCGGGGCCGCCGCCGCCCCGCCGCGCGGCGGCGCGCCGTCGGGGGGCAGGGCGTGCGCCCTCAGCGGCACCTCGACGCCCACAGGCCAGGCACCTCGACGCCCACGCTGCAGGCTCTCTCCGGGAGGCAGCGCGGCAGCTATACGCCGCGGAGCTTTCGGCGGCGGCCGCCTCGCCTGGGCAGGCGGGGGGCGTGCGCGGGGCGCCGGGCGAGGCGCCGCCCGGCCGTCGGCACGCTGGAGCGCGGCGGCGCCCCCCGCCCCCGGGGCCGCCGCCGGAGCTGCGCGCGACGCCCGTGTGGCAGCGTGAGCGCCGCGGTCACTCCTCTGCGGCCTCCCTGCCCGAACCTCCCTCTGCCTCTCTCTCGCTCTCTCTTCCCCTTTCTCCTCCTCCAGTCTCTGTTCGTGCTCCTCCGTGCGTCCTTCCTCCTCCTGCCCCTCCTCCTTTCCCTCATCATCTTCATCCGCGCCATCTCCATCCACCTTCTCCCCAGCTTCCTCCTTCTCCGCCTCCTCCTACTGCCAGGTCTCCTCCTTCCCCTAGCCTCCTGCCAGCTTTCTTCCTCCTCATGTCTCTCCCGCTCCACAGGTCTCCTGCATGCGGCGGACGATCCTGTTCACCTCGACCACGTCGCTGCTGACGGCGGCAACAAGCACCTGCCTCAGCCTGTTGCACAAGGCGTCCACACGAGGCCACCTTCCAGTGCCGATCTTTGAAAAGGCCTCGAACCTCGCGTGTAGCGCACTAAGTCCAACAGACTTGACCACTGTGACCTCGAAGGCGCCCAATCTTGGGTAACGAACAGGTGCCAAAGAGGAGCCATCATCTTTCCTTTGCCGGAACCACCCCTCAACGAGCTGCCCCGATCCACTTGCAGATGCGGACCGGAACCCTGGGCCTGGGCCAGGGTTCAGCTGAACCTTGATCTTGACACCTGTCTGGCAGCTGACGTCCCGCTCGAGCTTGGACTGTAGATCTTTGAACAGGTTCACGTACTTCTGCGATGCTAGACACAGCTCGTGGTAGTGACTCTTGCTCAAACCCTTGGGGTCGTGGCACTCTATCTGATCTGGACGATTACGCTTGGCACCTCCATGGGCGCCGCTCTGAGTAGATCATGCAGCGCCGCATAGCCCTCCCCATTGCCATGGCCTAGACCAAAATGGCCTTCCGATAACTTGGCTGTGATTGTGATAGCGCGAACGTGTCACGATGGCAGAAAAAACAACTGCGACGTCGACGGTGGCCGTGACAACGAAGGTGGCGAAAATTAACATAGTCAGTGATGGCACTCGACCGCCGTCACCAACACCCATTCTGGCTTGCTGTCATAAGGGTTCGGGCCTAGGGGTCTAGACTCGGATTATCGGAGGTTGGGTGAGATCGCATTGAAACGGAGACCCCCCACTGGGAACTCGGTTTCGGTTTCGTATTCGTGTCGTGCGTGCGGGCGAGGCGAAGCTGCGCGTGATCCTCCTGTAGCTAGGCCGAAGTAGGAACGAAAATCCGTTCCGGTCCGCCGGTGGCTGGTTGGGCCGGGCGGTGTCCTGGGTGTCCCGGGTGTCAGTTGGAGCGAAAGTCCGTTTCCCGTCCGCCGGTGGCCGGGAGGTGTCCCAGTTGGGCCGGGCGGTGTCCCGGGTGTCCCCGGTGTCCCGGGCGTCTCGGCGCTAACGCATGTCGCTAATTTCATAATTCATTTTTGTCGGCGCCTGCAGCGGGCTTTCTTATCCAATCCAGCTTATCTTATCCAATCCATCTTGTCGAATCCAATCCATCTTACCTTATCCAATCCATCTTGTCCCATCTTATCTTATCCCACCCAATCCAATCCACCCAACCCAATCCATCAATTCATTTGTTTCTGCGCCTGCGGCGGGCCAATCCAATCCATCTTATCTTCTCCAATCCATCTTATCCCATCCAATCCAATCCACCCAACCCAATACATCAATTCATTTTTGTCGGCGCCTGTGGCGGGCTTTCTAATCCAATCCAGCTTATCTTCTCCAATCCATCTTGTCCACTACAATACATCTTACCTTATCCAACACATCTTGTCCCATCTTATCTTATCCAACCCAATCCAATCCACCCAACCCGATCCATCATTTCATTTGTTTCTGCGCCTGCGGCGAGCCAATCCAATCCATCTTATCTTATCCAATCCGTCTTGTCCAATCCAATATATCTTATCTTATCCAACCCATCTTGTCCCAACTTATCTTATCCCACCCAATCCAATCCATCAATTACTTTTTGTTGGCGCCTGTGGCGGGCTTTCTTATCCAATCCAGCTTATCTTCTCCAATCCATCTTGTCCAATCCAATCCATCTTACCTTATCCAACCCATATTGTCCCATCTTATCTTAGCCCACCCAATCCAATCCACTCAACCCAATCCATCAACGGCCCCAAAGGCCCCAAAGACGGCACAGGAGGCCTTTAAGACGCCCAAGATGGCCTCCAAGACGGCTCTGGAGCATTCCAAGAGGGCCCCAAGTCGGCCCATAGAGGCCCCCCAAACGGCTTCCGACGGCGTCAGACGGACCAAGAGCCCACCAAGACGGCCGAGCATGGCCCTAAGATAGCCCAAGACGGCCCCAGAGGCCTCCAAGAGGGCCTCCAGGAATGCCCGAAAAAAGCCAAAATCATTGACTTCCCATGGGTTTTTGAAGGATTGTGGCATTTGCTTTTTTTCTGCATTCCGACGGCCCGAGACGGCCCAAATGCCCCCAAAGATCGCCTCAAGACACGGCCCCAAGAGGCCCCCAAGACGGCCCAAGAGGTCTCCAAGACGCTCAAGATGGCCTCCAAGACGGCCCAAAAGCCCTCCAAGACGTCCTCCAAGAAGGCCCGAAAGGTCAAAATGGCTTCCAGACGGCCAAGATGACCTTCAAGATGCCCACGTGTTCCCCGAAGGATTTCCAAACCGATTCGGGGAACACATGGTCCGATAGCTTGGCAGGTCTGGCCTCAACGTTCGGCCACATAGGCGCTTCCAAAAAGGCAGGGGGCGGCGGTGATTCGCCGTAGGCGTCTTCGATATATTGCATGACCAGATATGCTAGAACCCACTGTTAGGGGTCCACGCTGACCAACATATTGATGTGTTCTTAAGCGGATCTCTCCCTCAGGCACAGCATGTTGCGGCTGACGCAACACACATGCCTGACCTCGAATCTCGACCGCACTGCTACCACTGAGGATTCACTGATGCTGGCCTCGCACCACACACGCGTCAGCAAAATGCATAAACACACTCATCATCCCTCGCACTTCGCAGTGGACCAGCTGATATGTCTGTCAAGAGGTGCATGCAGGAGTGTCGGACATCCAATCGCCTGGTGCCACACATGTTCCAAAAGACCCTGTATGCAAAGAGGCTTGGCACTCCACGGAGCACTATGTATGCGACCGCTTGGATGCTTGGATTGATCATCTGAAATTCGCCCTGAACGAAAACATGCGAAACCACGCGACAATCATGCTGACAACCCCAACATCCGATTGTATAACCCGACTCAATGCCTGTCAATGTTTGTTGCGCAACGTATCCGCCCCACCACCCCAGGCTGGACACCCGGCAGGCTCTCCACCGGCACTTTGGAGTCATTGTGTTGATTACTTTCACCTGGCCAGGAGCTCTTGACGGCACGCTCATTGACCTTTGGACCAAGCCCACATGTAGCATGTGCGCCTTGTCTCACCACGGGAGGCGCATGACTTTACTCTGCTCCAGCGTAGCTCGAACATCGAGCCATGGGGTCTTGATGATGGGCGGGGCTTTGTTTTCACGTGCTTGTTGGCATCCGATGATGATGATGGCCCCTGCCCAAAACCCTTTAATTACCACGCCCACTCCCGAAAGATCCCCAACTTGTCCGCCAACGATCCCCATACTCCCCTTCCCCTATTCCTGTTCTTCTCACCTCCCTCTCCCTCTTCCGGTGTCCTCTTTCTCCTTCCTTCGTTTTCTTCTTCTTCCCCCACCTCCCTCTCTCCACCTCCGGACCTCGCCCGCCCATCCCCTCCCCTTTCCCCTCCTATACGCCCCTCCCCTCCCATGCCGCCGTCTCGAATAGTAGCAGACACGAAGAAAAGCATAGGCAACGATACGAAGATGTTGCACTTTCACCCCGTCCCGAGTTCTTGGTCTCTATGTTGTCTGAACATTCGTTCTCCCTTCCCCATTGCCTCTGCTAGAAGAAAAAACCATGCAAACATAAACTTTTGGCGCACCGCGCGGATTTCTTGGGTCTGCGCTGGACCCCACTCCCTGGCGCGCGGAGCGCGCCAGGGGCGGCGCCGGAGGCGCCGCCAGGGGGGCCCAGCGCGGATCCGAGAAATCCGCGCGGAGCGCCACAAATTTATGTTTGCGTGGTTTTTTCTTCTTCGATCTGTCATCCTCGATCAACCTTATCCACGGCCCTGATCGCGCGCAACCGCCCCTTCCCCGCCAGGAGGTCTGGCGGCGCAGCAGCTGGCGAGGCCGGCGCTGGCTCCAGACTGATCAGCGGCGCCTCCGGCCCAGCCAAACTGCCAGCAGCCAGAGGGGAACAAAAAAGGCTCTGGAGCGCGTTCCTTTATTCTCGGCGATAAACGGGCATTTATTGGGAGGGGGGGCGGGCAGGGGCGGGGTACAATAGAACGACTAACGACTCCCCCCCGCCGCGCGCACGGCGGCAGTGCCCGGAGCGCACTGGGGGGAGGGGCGTTGCGTTACAGGGGGGGGGGCGGGGAGGGCTATAAGGCTCATTACAGTGCCGTTTTTTATACACGTTTCAAAAGAAGAATATAATTTCAAGTACATGATTAATGTATGAATAAATTGATGCATGAACCCATCGTTGTTCTTAATACAACATGTCTGCATTTTTAATACATGATCTGCACGCGGAGCATGCATAAAAAAACGGCACTGTATGCCCCAAGTCAAAAGGAAAAAACACGCTCCTGGGCCCGAGGAGCACTTCCTGGCGAGTCCGCTTTGGACACCACTCGCCTGACCTCTCAGGCGCTCACGACGCTGGGCTCCAACTGGCAACAACTGCGCGGCTGCCACTGCCCAAGACGGCGCGGGACATCACTCCGTTGGCCCGCTGCGCCTGCAAAAATGGCCACGAGAGTGGCGACAATTGTGGGGTTGCCGACCCGATTTGATTTGAATCTGGATTTGATTAGAATCTGGATTTGTCCACGAAGAAACCACACCTGATTTGAATCTGGATGGGAAGCCACTCTGCTAGAGCCACTCGGGGCTCACGAAAATGGCGTCAATTTCGCAGACGGCAGCCCCAAGGGAAGGTGAGGTCCCGCTGGGCCTCCCAGGAGCTCACAGTGGCGACAACTGCACGGTTGGCAGCCCCCAGAGAGGACGAGGTCTGCACAGTCGGCAGCCCCCGCCACATGTGTCCGCCTAAGACCGCACTCCGCTGGACCTCCCAGGAGCTCACTCCGGCTGCATCCGCGTAGGACGTCACGCCTTTGGACTTCCCAGGAGCTCACGGAAATTGCGACAGTTGCGCACCTGGTAGCCCACAAGGAGGGGGGGTGCGGTCTCATTCTGATCCGCGCAGGACGTCACCCCGCCAGATTTCCCAGGAGCTCACGTAAATGGGGGACGGTCGCGCAGTGGGCAGCCACGCGGTGGGCCGAGGACTCACACGGGTCCGCGTAAGACGTTGCTCCGCCAGTTGCGCCGTTGGCACCCCCCAAGGAGGGCAAGGTATCGTTCGGGTCCGTGCAGAACCGACCTCCGCTGGACCTGCAAGCAACTCACGAAAGTGGTGACCGTTGTGCAAATGCGAGCGCCCAAGGATGCCGAGGTCACACCTGGGTCCGCGCTGGGCGTCACTGCGCTGGACCTCTCAGGAGCTCACAACCGCGACAGCTGCGCAGCGAGGTGTCCCCAGGGGTCCGCGCAGGACGCCACCCGGCTTGACCTCCCAGGAGGCAGGCAGGAGGTAAGAGGCAGGAGGAGGAGGGATGCGAGGGTGGTGATGCGAGAGGAGGGATGCGAGAGGAATAGGAGGACGAAGAGCAGGAGATGATACAGCAACGCTGTATTCAAAACAAAGACCCAACACCTCAGGGTTGGGGGAAAATGCCATGTGTTCAGTGTTCAATGGTTCTGGCGTGTCCTATGTATTGTTCCCAGGATGTCCAAGTATCGCGACCCTATGGCCCAAAGAGCCCTCGATATTGCGGAAGACTGCCCCAGGGTGGCACCAACAGGTCCCAAGATGTCGTACAAATCCCGCCAGCCCTCTGAGTGGAGGAGGTTTAGCACGTTTCCTCTTCCATCCTCCCTCTCCCCCTTCGGGGAAAAGTTTATCGCTCTTCCGATGTATCCCCACCCGACTGACAGCCAACCCGGACCCATGCCACACACATGCGGGCACCTCCTCCACCACCCCGTGTCAACCAAACAATACAAAAGACATGTTTGCCTCCACGTCTAGAGCATGCGCGCGGGCCGTGCGACCGCTCTGCATGGGCTTTTCGCAGGGACGGCGGGAGTGCTGGCATATCTCTTGCTGCGCAGATGCCAGCACCCCCCCCACCATCCCTTGCAGCAGATCCATACAAAACACACTCTGCACAAAACTTTGGGTCATGCGCGGACGCCCCGCGATCACTTCGCACTGGTTTTTGAAATGGACGCTGGGGGGCAGCACATCGTCTGCGGCGTGCAGTGGCAACACCCCCTTAGTCCTCCCCAGCAGAAGCACCAATACACAATGTGCACTCTGAGCCATCATCTGGGCAATGCGCGGACGCCTCGCGCTCACCTGTCCATGGTTGCCGACAAGGACTGCGGGGCTGCCTCCATGCTGCCTGCCGTGACCCGGCATACTGCTGGCCCACTCATTCACACGAGCGAGTGGGCCAACCGCGTCGGCTGTCCTTCCCTCGGGGTGGCGGCGCGGCTGGTCTGCGCCAAGCGGCAAGGCTGCGCTTCACGATCCGTCAAGACGCGTTCCCACTCCAACCTCCTGCATCGGATTATTACTTTATCTCACGAAAATCTAAGGTGTTACTAGAAGTGCCCCTGGCCCAAGGTTCCCCCAGCTTTTCGCTCCATTTTGGAGCCCCTGGGGCCCTCTGGGCCTCGTGAGGGGTGCCCTGGAGGCCGCCTGGGCCACCCCGAGAATCCTGGGGGTACCTTGGGCCAGGGGTACTTCTAGCAACACCCGAAAATCATACCTGAGTGCCCCAAGAGGCCCCCAGAGGCCCTCACGAGGCCGCCCAGACGCCCCAAGGAACCCCCAAGAAGCACCCCAGAGGCTCCGAAACGGCCCCCGAGTGGCTCCAAAACTCGCAGTGTCGCTGTCCGCTCGGACCTCCCCGCGGAACTGCCCGAGACCCTCTGGCGGTGGCGGCGAACAGACACCAAACAAATATCACTCGCCTTTTCACCCCTTCGCAGCTTCTACTACCCCCAGATTGGCATAAACAAGGGGTCGGCGGTGTGGCGTAAGCCTAAGAATCATACCTTATACTTTTCCACGTGCTGTCCTGCCCCCGTCAAAAGAACAGGCAAACTCACTCTGCCAGGGGCGGCGGGGGGGGCGGCACGCCGCCTGCTGCGCGCAGGCCCACCGCTACCGTCAAATCACACAGCTGCCCAGCGGCCGGGAGCGCACACCCGCACGGTGCAAACCCGCCGTGGCCTGTTTGCAATGGTTTTTCTTTTGACAGGGGCGGTGGGAGGGTCCATAGATTCGGGGGCGCGCGAACATGGACTGGCGATCCATGGATTTGGCGCGCGGTCGCCAAATCCATGGATCGGGGGAGGTGCCCTCCTCAAAATGCGGCCGGTGCCGCTTCGGTCGGCGGCGGGAACCCGCGATTCCCCATGGAAACGGGACCCGTCGCAAATCCACGCCCCCTTAATCCATGTTTGCGATCGCCTGACACATGGCCCAACAAGGCGCGCGTGGCGCAGCTGGCGCGTGCGGCGCACCTCACAGGCTCTGCGCACCTGGCTGGCGGTTGCATCGGCTCCCGATCGTTGTGGATGGCGGCCCCCGTCCGTGCTGAGACTCGGCTGCTACTTCTGTGTTGGGAGGGCGGGTGGGAATGAGCGAGACGGCTTGTTGCTTGTGGGTAGCTTGCCTCCTGCCCCTACCCCTAAGTCGGGCGTGTTCCCCTACAGGGGGATTTTCGACGAAAAATAAAACATACTCAACACATACTCCAAAATGGCTGAAACAATAATAGAAAAAATCCCCAGACTATTTCAATATTCTTGAATATTGCCCCTGTGGAGGGGCAAGCCCGACTTAACCCTGCCCCCTTGTCCTGGACCTGGGCGGGGGGTGCGCGACCCGTTTGGAGCGTCCAAGATGGCCTCGGCGAGGAGGCACGCATCGGTGATTTGACGTAGACGTCGGGCCCACGTTGGCCTCCTGGGGTGGGGAGGGGGGTCAGTCCTCTGGGCGTAGGTTGTTTAGGGCGTTTCCTCTTCCAACCCTCCTTCTTCCCCTTCGGGGGAGGGTTTATCACTGTTCCCTATTAGTGAACACCCCCTCCCCCAGGCGACTGGGGGCCAACCAGGGACCATGACGACCCCCCCACCATCCCTAGTCAAACAACAATACAAAACACACTCTGCCTCCACATTCGGAACATGCGCAGCCAACCCGATGCGGCCCCCCCCACCATCCCTGTCAAAACAAACAATACAGAGTACACTTGGTGGCGGCGGCGGCGGCTGCGGCGGCGGTGGCGGCGGCTGCGGCGGCGGCGGCGGCGGCGGGGGCGGCGGCGGCGGCGGCGGCGGCGGCGCGTCGGCGTCGTCGTCGGCGGCGGCGGCGGCGGTGGCGGCAGCGGCGGAGGTTTGTCAGCGGGGGTCGGCGGCGGCGGCGGCGGCGGCGCGGCGCGGCGGCGGCGGCGGCGGCGGCGGAGGCGGCGGCAGCGGCGGCGGCGCCGCCGCGCGGCGGCGGCGGCGGCGGGCGGCGGCGGCGGCGGCGGCGGCGGCGGCGGCGGCGACTTCGGCGGCGGCGGCGGAGGCGGCGGCGGATTGGCCCCCAGTAGCTGCCCATCCAAAGACGACTGCTGAATATGCTGAGGCTCGGGCCAGACTAAGGTGCTACGTATGTGTTGGGAGTACGGGTGGGAGTGAGCGAGACGGCTTGCGGGCGGGGAGGGGGTCTTGACCCCTCCCCCTACCCCCTCCCCTGGACCTGGACGTAGATGTCGGGCCCAGGTTGGCCTCCTGGGGTGGGGAATGGGGTAATTTCGTATCTCCCCCCGTCTTTGACCGATGTCCTCCAAGATGGCCCCAAGATAGCCCCTCAGAGGTTCCCAAGAGGCTCCCAAGAGACCCCCGCAAGCCCGCAAGAGGTTCCCCCGAGGCACCCAAGACGCCCCAAGGCCGACAGGACCGCCAAGAGGCCCCCAGGACGCTCCAAGAGGACCCCAATAAGCTTTCAAGAGGCATCCGAAGAGACTCCGAGAAGCAAGCAAAAGGCCTCTGGCCATTCTGCTCGCCCTCCCTCTCCTCACTCACTCCTCCCTTTCCCCCCTCCCCCTCCCCATTCCTCCTCCTCCGATTCTTCCTCCATTCTCTCCCTCTTGAAGTATGACGGCTTCCCCAGCCCCTTATCCCAGTGCATGCTCCTCCACATCCCTGATAAGGGCAGCTCGCCTGGGCATCGTTTCTGCATGGGCTGCTTGGGTTACGCGAAGCGTCTAAAATCTCAGAGGATGGCCTACTGCTGTCAAAGATGGTCCCAAGATGGCTCCTCTAGGCCCCCAAACTGCTCAGCATAGCCATAGTATGGGTCAGTCTGGTAGGCCAGCGGCAGAAACCAAAGCCCTACAGCTGCACTTGTCATTCCAGCTTCAGAGTCCGCTGCGGCCACGTCTGCCCGAATGCTACCAGAGCGCCTCCACGGCAGCAGGCGCAGGCGCTGGCACCAGTGGGTCCGCCTGCAGCTGCGCCGCGGCCGCTGGCTGTGCGGTGGCGGCGGCCTCTTGCGAGGCCTCTCGGGGGGGCAGCCAGGTGGGTAATTACGATCCCACTGATCGCATCTTTCCTGCTTCCTACAATACAAGATCCTTCAAAACATGGGACCCTCCGCCGGCCAAACCATTCAGAGCAGCCAAGGGTACCCTCTCCTAGGATGTACAAGAACATCCAACAACCACGAAGAACATGAAGGCACTCCCTGGAACCGACCATCTCGATCTAATGCCGCGGTCCGACCGTAATTACGATCCTCCTTGTCGCCTCCTCACTGAATTCTACCTCAAACCAACAACGTCTCACGCAAAAGTCCCCTCCGAGTACCTCTGGAGCCGCTGGGCACGTTCGGCCGGGCATGGCGGGTGCTGCTGCACCCGGCTGCTATAACAAGCTTGCCACCATACTTCGTTCTCGTTTCATGGGCCCGCCTTGGCGATCCCTAGCGCTCAACTCGGCAACACAGTGGAGAGGAGAAGACAACGGGGGCGGCAGCAGCGGCGGCGGCGGCGAGAGAGCGGGCGAGGGGGAGAGACGAATGCACGGCTCGTCGTGCAGACCCCAAGGGCCGGCAACCGATGACGTTGCTACACTGGCCATCGCTCGGACGTCCATTCCCTGTGTGCTTTTCGGTTTCGTGCGTGGTTGTTTCGCCAAATGATCAAGGATGCTCCTGGATGGTCCTCGCCGAAAGAAAAATGCACACGTCCGAGCGATGCCAAGTACAGCATTCCAGGCCTCACTCGGCGCGTCCTCGGGCCTTGCGGAAACCCCAAACACCCACGCTGCACGTGCTCTGTCGCGCCTCGCTCCGCGATCCCGGATCCGGGCGCGAGCTCTGGCTCGGGAGGGGCGCCCGAAGGTCACGGCGGCGTCCCGACTGCGGCCACCAGCCTTTCTCTCTCCCTCTCTCTGTCTAGATGTCCCTCTCTGCCTCTCTCTCTCTCTCTGCCCTCTCTTGCTCAAAAACTTCCCTCTCCTGTGTCGGCCCACCGCGTTGCACGGACTGCCATCTTGGTGCAGTCGCCACGGCCAAGTGTTCACTTGCCTCGCCCCCTTGGTGCTTCTCGTCCTCCCTCCCCTCCCTCGTGTTCCCCCCGTCTTCGCAGACGGGCACATCTGCGCCGCTCAATCCCTTCCCACGCCAACTGTCCTGCCCAACATCTTCGCGACGCTCTGCCTGCAGCGCAGCAAGTCCAAGTAGAGCGTCAAGTAAGGCTTGACCCTCGACCGTGACTTCACGGCGCCGACTTGGACGGCGCTCGTACGCTTGCAGGTGGCGAATGGATTGGAAGCCTTCCGCAAACCGACAAGCCTGACGGCTCCCTTCCTCCTTCTCCTCCTCCACTTCCTCCTCCTCCCGCCCCCCTCCTGTTTTCTCTCTCTTTTTTTTTCCCATCCTGCTGGATCAAGACCCCGTGGCGTAGATGGTGTTCGCAGGGCGGCGCCAGCAGGACATCCCCCCTCCCCAGGGCCGCTCACGCACACCAAGTCCTTTTTGACCGTCCCTCGCCCCGCTGACGACAAATCGGCCGCCACGATTATTGCGAGCCGCCAAGGTCTCGGGACGAGAATGCTGTCATAATCATTCTAAGGACGGTTCCGGATGCGCTTCAGCCCTCGTTTCTGGAACCCTCCTGGAACGCCGTGGGAAGCTCGGACATCCTGGGAAATCCTGGAGCCCTTGGAACGTCTCATTCTCGTGACCTCTTGCTCCTCTGACGTCTGGGCCTGTCCCTCCTCCCCTGCCCCCGTGCCTCACGCCGCCCTGCACGTCACTGAGGCGGTCTCCGGCGGCGTCGGGGACGCACTGACCAGGGCCAGTGCACACCCGGGTCAGTCAGGCCTTGCAGGATCCTGCAGGATCCTGCACAGGGGAACAAAAAGTGGCATAAACATAAAAACTCGGAGGTCCGCGCGGACTTCTCGGATCGGCGCTGGGGCCCCCCAGTGGCGCCTCCGGCGCCGCCCCCGGCGCGCTCCGCGCGGCAGGGAGGGGCGTCCAGCGGAGATCCGAGAAATCCGCGCGGACCTCCGAACTTTTATGTTTACGCCACTTGTTGTGCCCCTACTGTCAGGGGGGCGTAAGACCCGGGTACAGGGGACTCGGAAATCCCCGACGAGGTCGTCAAAAAAATGACGAGGCCGAGCCTGCATTTTGACGAGGCCTCCCGCTGCAGACATCCCACGAAACTCCTCCTCGTCAAAATCCCAGGCGCGGTCGTCAAAAAACGATGGCGAACCCGAGTCCTGGCAAACCCGGGTCTTACGCTCCCCCGATACTGCAAGATCCAGCACTCTGGCAGACCACCACTGGCGCTGACCACCGCCTCCAGGCTCTCGAGACCGGGGACCTCCGAGAGCCCCCGGGCTCGGGGACGTGTCGGGCGCCGCGGCCGCTCCGAGAGCGCCCCGGAACGCTCTCAGGGCGTTCCGGGAGGAGGGAGAGCACGGTGGGTCGCCGATCGCCCCAATGCAATCTTGACCCCTGCCTGCTGAAGAAGAAACAACAGCATAGACATGAACTCGTGGCGCTCCGCGCGGACTTCTTGGATCTGCGCTGGACCCCCCTCCCTGCGCGCGGAGCGCGCCGGGGGCGGCGCCGGAGGCGCCGCCTGGGGGTGCCCAGCGCGGATCCGAAGAATCCGCGCGGAGCGTCACAAGTTCATGTCTATGCCGTTTTTTCTTTTTTTTGCCCCCCGTCTCAGGGCTCCCGACGGGGCCTGCGCGGGTGCCCGCGCCGGCGGCCTCGCGGCTGCGCCGGCAGCGGCCGACGCCGCCGGGGGGGCGCTGCCGGGCACCGACTCCCGCAGGACTTGGAGCTGGGGCGGGCGGGCCGCGGCACGCCCAAGGGGGGGGGCAGGCAGGAAGGCAACCAGCAGGAGGAGGAGAGGAGGAGGGGGAGGAGGGGGAGGAGGGGGAGGATGAGGGAGGAGGATGGAGGATGAGGGGGAGGAGGATGGAGGATGAGGGGGAGGAGCACGAGGAGGAGGAGGAGGAGGAGGAGGAGGAGGGGAGGAGGAGGAGGAGGAGGAGGGAGGAGGGGGAGGAGGAGGAGAGGAGGAGGAGGAGGAGGAGGAGGAGGGAGGAGGAGGAGGAGGAGGAGGAGGAGGAGGAGGAGGAGGAGGGAGGAGGAGGAGGAGGAGGAGGAGGAGGGAGGAGGAGAGAGGAGGAGGAGGGAGGAGGAGGAGGAGGAGGAGGAGGAGGAGGAGGAGGAGGAGGAGAGGAGGAGGGAGGAGGAGGAGGAGGAGGAGGAGGAGGAGGAGGAGGGAGGAGGAGGGGGGAGGAGGAGGAGGAGGAGGAGGAGGTGGAGTTGTGGTGCAAGGGAGCGCTCATCCTCGCGGAAGGGTTGGGCCCCGCGAGCTCCGAGGGGCACTACGGGTGAGCGCCAATCTGCTTCTGGATCTGGGCCCAGGGTCCCCCCCGAAAGGGCGCACTGCCCCTTGTCAGGGGTGCGAGGGAGGGGGTGGGGCGGAGGAGACGCGCGGAGAAGGTAGATGGATATATATAATATATATATATATATACACATACACACACGTAGCACCCCGCAGCTCCAGATAAGAGTGAGGGGCCGGCGGGGACGTCTGCAGTCTGCGAGGCTTTGAAGAAGCCCGCCGCAGGCGCAACAATTTTCAAGCTATTCAACGAGCCCACCGCAAGCGCCGATTTGTTTGTTGCATAGCCCCCCGCAGTTGCGGATAAGAAAGAGGGGGCGGCGGGGACGTCGGCAGTCTGCGGGGCTTTGAGGAAGCCCGCCGCATGCGCAACAAAAAATCAAACTATGCAACGAGCCCGCCGCAGGCGTCGATTTTTGTAAAAACAATGTAGTTGGGTCGCGGGTTGGGTCGCAGGTGGGTCGCGGGTGGGTCGACGGAGGGTCGCGGGTGGGTCGCGGGTGAATCGCGGGTGGGTCGCGAGAAGGTCGCGAGTGGGTCGCGGGGTGGGTCGCGGGTGGGTCGCGGTTGGGTCGCGGGGTGGGTCGCGGGTGGGTCGCGAAGTGGGTCGCGGGTGGGTCGCGGGGGGAACGACGACAACAACAACAAACAGAATCCTCACCACGGATCCGCACTTCAGCCACGCACCCGGGGACAATGAATGACCGTTCAGCCCCCTCACTCTGAAAACAATGTAGGTGGGTCGCAGGTTGTGTCGAAAATGGGTCGCGGGTGGGTCGACGGTGGGTCGCGGGTGGGTCGCGGGCCGGGTCGCGGGTGGTACGCGGGTGGGTCGAGGGTGGGTCGCGGGTGGGTCGCGGGTGTGTCGCGAGCGGGTCGCAGGGTGAGACGGCCCAACAGGGCCCAAGGATGGCCCGAAAAGAGCCCCGTGACGGCTCAAGATGGCCTCAAGCTGCCACCCGAAGCACTTCAAATCATGACGCAGTCGTTGAGGGATACCTGAAAAGCTCCCAGAGGCCTCCAACAGTCGCCCAGGAGGCCTCCAGAAACCCACGGGAAGCCCCTGCAAAAAATTCGTGAGGCCCCCCAAAGGCTTTCTTAGGGCAAACCTCCGCAACCACAACCGAGGAGGACGGCGAAGGGTTTGCAAGGTTCGACGAGGACTAGGAAGAGACAGAGGAAATATGAGGGAACGATAACGAAACGCAGTAATACTACGACGGCGACGAAAGCGACAACACATACTTATCTCTGCGTTTACGTATCTACCGCTCTCTCATTCCGCCCGTAGCTCGAAATCGAAGGGCCAAGGCGCATGGCGCGAAGTGCCAGTGCAGTCTTTTATGTATGTATGTATGCATGAATACATGCATGTGTGTTGTGCTGTGTTGTGTTGTACTGTCCTGTGTTGCATTATGGTAAAATTGATTGTAGTATATGGGCTTGTAGTGCATGCATTGTATGTGTTGTATGTATTGCATGTACTGTGTTGCAGTGTAGTGCATAGTCTTGTATTGTCTGTTTGTCTGCGTGTGCGTATGGGTGTATGTATGTATGCATGTATGCATGCGTGCATGCATGTATGTATGCATGTATGGATGTAGATATGTATCTATATATGTTTGCGTGACTGTGCATGCATGTACGTATGCATGTATGTCTGTATGTATGCATGTATGCATGTATGTGTGTATGTGTGTATGTACGTATGCATGTATATATGTATGTGTGTAGGTATGTATGTATGTATGTATGTATGTGTGTATGTATGTACGTATGTGTGCATGTATGCATGTATGTATGTATGTATACATGTGTGTATGTATCTATGTCTGTAAGTATGTATGTATGTATGTGTATGTATTTACGTGGGTATGAATGTGTGTATGCATGTTTGTATGTATGCATGAATCCATGCATGTACACTGGTGTATATGTATGCACGCATGCATGCATGCATGTATGTACGTATGCGTGCACGTGTGTATGCATATACGTAGATATGTATGTATACAACTGTGTAGGCATGTATGTATGTATGTATGCTTGCATGTATAAATGTATGTATGGATGGATGGATGCATGTATGTATGCGTGCATGTATGTATGTATGTTTGGTTGTTTGTATGTTTATATGTTTGTATGCATGTCTATAGTTACGTGGGTATGAATGTGTGTATGCATGCATGTATGTATGTATGTATGTATGTATGCATGCATGCATGCATGCATGTATACATGCATGTACACTGGTGTATATGTATGCACGCATGCATGCATGTACGTACAAGGTATGCAATTGTGTATGCATGTACGTAGGTATGTACGTATGCAACTGCGAATACATGTATGTATGTATGTTTGCATGTACAAGTGTATGTATGTCTGTATGGATATATGCATGTATGCATATATGTAAATATGTGTGGATGTGTTTGTATATGCCTTTGTTGGTAAACATGTACTAGAGGACCCTTATGGACTCTCGAAGGACCCATAGGTCGTCCATGGTAATCCCCTCAGAGTTCTGCAGCGCTGCAACAGGAATCCCTTTAGACTTTTGTTCGACTCCTGTGGAACACCCAGTGCGCCAGCAATTCTTCGGCGCCCCGCAGCGTCCCCCCCGCGCTGACTGACGGATCTTTGGAGCCCAGGGCAACACCTCGCGGCACAAGGTGGGCTGCATTGTCGCCCGCAGGGGAGGAGGAGGGGACTGAGGGAGGAGGGAGGTGGAGGTGGAGGAGGTGGAAAAGGAAGGGGGTGAATCTCAAGTGCTTACTAGGGTACCGTCTTCAACCACCTACGCCTCCCCCTCCTCATCCTTTTCCTGCCCGCTTATTTCTCTTCTTGCTGACCCTACTCCTCCACCTCCGGATCCCCCCTCCGCAAGTGTGTGTGTGTGTGTGTGTGTGGAAGGACGTGGGACGTGCGCTCCCGCACCTGTACCACTTCTCCGCTTCCGAGCCCCAAAGTCAGCGTCAAGACACAGAAGGCGGACACGCTGCCAACGGGGACGCTGTCAGCTCCCAGGGGAAGATTACGAAATCTGGAGAAAAGGGGCTCGGCCACCGCTGCGATTTAACATTTACTTTCATTCTTCATGGGGTGGCTGTTCATGAACAATTGCCATCTGGACGCCCGAAATGGGTACGGAAAACATGGATACAATGCCCAACAACAAATGTTGTCCCAAACCGACAGCGGCCGCTGTTGGGCAGGCGGCCTTCTGTCTCGAATGGACACCGGCCGCGGCGGCGTGGACAGCGAGTCCTGCTCAAAATGAACAAGGTCCGCTGTTGAGCATTGTGCCCAATCTTTCCGTGCCCATTTCGTTCGTGCAAAATTTGAAGGGGCCCTGGGACACACCAATAAATACACACAAATAAAAATATTCCGAACATTCTCCAATATTTTCTGGTTTTTTGTCTTCCCGCCCAATTCCCATATTTTCCAATATTTTCTTGGGGATCGACGATTCATTGTGTCTATGAAATTCCCCCCCTCCCGAAAATTGCCAGGCCGACTGGACTGGACCCGCCGGGCGACGCGATGGACTGAGAAGCCAAGCGGCAGCGCACAGAAGCACGGACCCCGAGAGGCGCTCTGGACGCCCTGGGGGCGGCGGCGGGTCGGGCCGGGCAGGCAAGGCACTCGTGGAGCCCAGTGTGAAGCGGCCCTGGGACACACAAAGAAGTACACACAAATAAGGATTCCCCAAATTTTCTCATATTTTCTGGGGTTTTGTCTCCCCCCCCCAAATTCCAATATTGTTCCACATCTTCCTGGGAGTCGACGGTTACTTGTGTCTGTGTTTTCTCCCCTCCTGACGGTATCCTCAAGTGGGGCCTGTCCCCCTACAGGGTGACTTTCGACGAAAGAAAAACAAATACCCCCCAAATGCTCCCACATAACCAGCAAATTCCAACAAAAATGATATTCCCCAGACTATTTTTTGAAAACTATTTTCGAATATTCCCCTCTGCAGAGGGACAGGCCCGACTCAACAGCACCCTCGCCTATCCCGGCGGGAGCCCCAGCAGCGAGCTGCCGTGCGCCAGCCGGGCCCGGCAGGCGGGGCCCTGCCAGCGAGCTTCCGAGGCCCCACCGGGGGCACCCAGGAGGAGGGGAGCGTGCATCACGGCCAGAGCCAATGTGCGAGGACGAGAAGAGTTGGCCTGGAAATGGGCACCAACACCAAGACGATCCAAAGGGGGGAGATGATCCTAGATGTCGGTGTTGGTGGTAATAGTTCGGTCACCCTGGAAGCCAGAATATTACCACCATCACCGAGATCGGGATCGCCATCCATCGGTAGAAGCAAACCACCGATATTGGTGTTGGTGTCAACCTTCAGGCCTGCGAACGAGGGGGCCACCAGGGGACGCACTGAAATGAGAAGAGGAGGCAATGGAATCCGGGTAGATACCGCGGCCCTGGCTATGATATGCACCCCCCTCTACAGCAGTAAGCCTGCCTCATAAGGCTGCACGATAACCATGCAAAAGGCCTTGAAAGGCCATGCCGACACTCTGCAAGCGGGGCGCGGCCAGCAGAAGCGGCCAAGGATTGGCCGAAAGGAAGGATGCAAGGGCAACCTTGGAAAATCACTCATCCTTACTATACGGGTTGACTATAGTTTGAGCAGGGGCCGATCGTCCCGGCATTCTTCTAGGCCTACCACGAAATGTTCATAGAACCCCCAAATGATCTAAGAGCAAACACAATGTCTTATAACATAAGCCCGATGTGTTGAAACAAGGAAGTGTCGGCCAGACATGTTCTGGGATCATTTCTTTCGCGCGGGCCACCAAAAATTCTTAGAACATCCTTTCGTGGGCTTACAGGCACGCCGGGACGCTTCGCCACTGCTTCAGTCGTCCCCACTCTCCTCTTCGCCGCCCCCGGCCCGGCGGGCAAGGCGCGGGGGCGCCCGGAAGCGCAGCGACGTCCCGATCTCCTCGCCGCGCCCGGGGGGGGCGGCTCCGCGCCCCGCGCGCGAGCCCGAGGCGAAGGACGGGGGCGGCGAAGGGCGGACGACGACGACGTCGACGACGACGACGCCAAGGGCTGACGAACGGCCGCCCGAAACGCGCGCGCTTGGCTGGGGAGCCCGCCCGCTCCCGCTGGGACACGGCGTGGAGAGGAGGGCCACCACGGCATGGCGCCGGCAGGGCGAGGGTCGAGGACGAGGGCGAGGACGCGCGCTGGGCCCCCCCCCCCTCCTCCTCCTCCTTCTTCCTCGTCCTGCTGCACTCCTCCTCCTCCTCCTCCTCCCCGTCCCTCCCCCCCTTCCCGCTCCGCCCTCTCCGCCGGCCCCTTCCCCGCCGCTGGTCCCGTCGCCCCACCTCTTCCCCACCGCATGCCGTCCCCGCCGCCCGATCCGCCGACGCCCCCCAGGGCCTGCCTCCGCTTGGCATTCTGGGCCGAGCTCCCCAGCGGCGCAGCATCGATGAAACCACGGGCATCAGGGCATCGCTTCCGCTTCACTTGGTGCACTGCTTGTCTGATGTACTTGTCTGAGAAACCAGGCACGCCCCCATTCTCTGGCGGGAAGGCTGGTTGTTCGCGCGAGCCACTTCGACATACAAAACAAGCACGACGACTACAAGTCTATCTGTACTGACACATTTGCCGCCATCAAGCATGCATGCAATAATTCGTGATTCGGACCCCTACCTGGTTCTACTCGTTGCAAGACTGGGGCCTTTACCATTCACGTTGAACGCGCTTGCTGATAATGCAACCTGTTCACATTAATTGCGTCATACGTCACCTGCGAATTGCCCCACACATCAAAAGCAATCGTGGTCCTGGGTGGCCATGTCGATGGATTTCCGAACGACTCGACAGGCAGATGGCCAAGAGATGATAACATACGCGGGGAGGGGGTCTGTTGGAACGACTCGGCCATCTTACGACGTGTCGCCAATCATCGTTTCATGTGTGCCCTCTTTCCAGTGCTTTCGGAGAAGACGCCCGCCCTATACATTCAACTGACGGAGCGACGTCGCCCTGCGAGCCCACGATTTCAGTGTTCGCATCCACACACAGGCCGTGGCCATTGAGCACATGTGTTCAAACTGATCTGTACTCGACCAGATCGAAAGCCCCGAACATTGAAATAAATCCTGGGTGGGCGTTTTTTTGTTCTCTCGAAAACCATCACGCCTCGGCAACAGAGCTCCACCTACTCCATCGCCCTCTCGCGAACTTATTTTCCCGCTGCTCGTCGTCTCCCTCCTCCTCCCCCTCTTCATTCATCCTCTTTCTCCTCCTCGTCGTCTGTTCCCCCCTCCACCTCCCTCTCTCCCTCCTTCCACCGTGTGTTCTACTCCTCCTGCATCGCCGCGGTGAGCGAGGAGGCGAATCGCTCGCCTCAAGCATCTGATCGGCGCTGCCCCGTATGCCGTTGACTTCCACAATCCAGTCGTTGGCCTGACGACGCTCACGGGCGAAAGAAACATGCGACAGGGAGGCGGCAGGCAGCAGAGCAGCAGCCAGCGAGCAGGCGGGCAGGAGAACAGCACGCAGGAACGTCTAGGCTCTTTGGCGCCCTCTCGTCCCCGTGCTGCTGTAAGGAAGGTGGTAGGAGTAGAACCTGAACACAATCGGGCCGCGGGTGCTATCGACGTTCGCAATACAGGGGAAAGTGTCGCTGCGACTACTTACGAACAGCTGCGGTGCCAACGCACGCTTCTGGTAAGTACACGGCAGTCATAATCGAAATCCCACCAACCTTCGGGGCGCAAGTGGTTTAGGAAATATCGTTTACCTACGTGTATTTCTCGGTCTGGGAAGGGTTTACCACTGGCCCTCATCAACAAATACCCACCGCCCCTCCGACTGGCCACCGACCAGAAACAATGATCCCCACCACCATCCCTGCCCTGAAAAGAAACAGTACAAATTGCAAGTGGCGGCAACATTTGGATATCACGCGCGAGCTCCCCGCTGTTCTTGACTGGAATGGCAAGGTGTGGTAATGTTTGTCCGCTGTGCGCTCGCCCACCAATCATCCGCATCGAAACCAAGCGATATCTGATTGCGGCGGCGCGCGCCAGATACCATGCTGACCGCCTCGCCGCAAGCTTGCGGTGGCTATTGGCAAAGGTGGTGCGGGGTCAACGTGTTGCCCAATCTGTGCCGTCACGCGACGTGGCGCACTTGTGGCCGCCTGGCGCAGTCTCCGCGCGCCGCGCACCCCGTGCGGCTGGGGCACGTGTCACACTCGGCGCAAGTGGCGCACCTGGCACATCTGGGCCCCGGGGCCACCTGGGGCGTTCCATTTGGAGGTTGGCCCTTCCCCCCCATGCTCGCCCCAGGGTCTGGACCGAGGGGGCGAGGCACTGGAGCGCCCACGATGGCCCACGATGGTTCCACTAGTGCTCTCAGGGCCACCCAGACAGCCCATTACTCGGCATCAGGACCAAAAGAGCCTGCACAGCGTCAGAGAAAAAATAGTGTCCGCCGCAGAGAGCCGAATCTCTTGTTAATCCCCGCTCATGGGGGCCACGTCTCGCGGGTGCTGACACAGGCGGGCTGCGTCGCGCTGCCACGAGACGCTTCGAGGAGGCATTTCTCCAAGATGACCCAGTCTGTCCAACTGAACTTCCAGCGCACCTGCAGCGGACTGTTGGCATGCCGGGTCGTGTGGACGAGCCCCCGGAACGGTGCGTCGGCCCGCGGGCTGGCGCGTGCCCCGTGCTGCGGTCGGCGCCCGCCCCGCCCCGGGGCGGCGCCGCCGTGCCACGTGGTGTGGTGGCCGGCGATCGCCTCCTCGGGGGTGACGCCGCCGTGCCCTGTGCGAAGAGTGACGTGCGCCTGGTGCGCTTAATAGGCAGCAGCAGCACCCCAGGGTGGCTCCGAGTAGCCGCGGGGCTTCCCAAGGAGACCCCCGGGAGGCCAACACCCTACAAAGCCTGCAGATGCTCAACGGCCGCTCACTGCTTGCCGTTTCGCTTCCGATGGGCCCGTGGAGCTCGCCCGGGAGGCCTCCAGACGGCCTCCCAGGCGAGCTCCAAGAGCGGCCCACAAGGGCCCCAAGATGCCCCCACGAGTCCCCAAACTCACATAACGTATGGCTCATGACACGCAGGGGCGATGCTACTCGGCGCCGCCTCTTCTCCATCGTACAGGGTGCTACTGTGTGAGAGCGTAACACATGCATCCACATGTGAGCGCATGCGTGTATATTGTTTGTGCACGCGCAACTGGAATCATTCAAGGGTATGTGGCAATTCGGGGGTATCGTTGGGAGGCGTTGGGGGCATTGTTGTTCAAAAGGGCCCACCTATTACCCAAACGTGTTCTCCAAGGTGCCGAAATTGATTCCAATATTGCTCAAGCTGGCATCCTACATACCCCCATGATGCCCGAACTAGGCTCTAAACCTGCTCCAGGTTGCCACGGAGCGTCTCTATGCCCCCCCCCCGCAAAGCCCAACCCTTCAAACTCCTGAAGCGGTTCCATGGGATTCACCCTAACGCCATTTCGCTCCCTGTGGGCTTCCGAAGCATCGAGGCTCCAAATCCACCCCCAAACGACAACTCCAAGAGAGGCCCAAACGTCCAAGACGGTCACAAGAACGCCACAAAGCGGCCCAATACTGTCCCAAGAAAACTACCAGAAACGGTGGGTCGTGATCTGGGAGGCCGGCGCTAATCCGCACCTGGGATGATACGCCAAAGGCGTTTGTATTCAGTCCAAACGCTGTTGCACTGAAGCTGAATCTTCACGAACAAGCCCGTTGCATTGTCGTCGTTATCGCTGTCGGCATCCCCCATTTCCTTCCCGATCCTCCCTTCCCCCCTTCCATCCTTACCCTCCTCACTCCTCGTCATAATCCTTCTCCATTTTATAATCCGCCTCTTACTGTCCTTCTTCTTCGGCGACAAGCTTAGCAACTCCACTCATGTCCATGTTCGGGCTGATGCGAAACGTCGGCTTCACGACTGTCTAACATCTTTATTCCAATGGACGCCCCTACACTTCCGTGTTCAGGGCAACTCGCTTGGCGATCATTTCTGAAGGGGCTGGCGGGAATGCACGAAACGTGAAGCACTATGCGGGCATGGGCGGAACAAGGCACGAAATGAACAAGTGAGACTCTCAACAAGAGCATTGCACTGGTAGCACAACACCTCCTACCTGAAACGCCCCGTTCCAAAACAATTGGCGTTCAGACAGATAAATCCCACCCACCCACCCACCCACTCACCCTACCGCCAACCTGTAGACCCGTATTCCAGCACCCGACTTTCACTACCTCCGATCCTCCCAGCTCTTCCTCCTCCGAATCCTCGCCCTCTTGTCTCAACGTGCCCATTTCCATGCTTCCATTCCAGGCTTTTTCCGAGATGGCGGCCCCAGCCTTTATTTCCCTTTCAGGATTAATCAAATTCCACTCGCTGATGAGGCCCTGGTTCACGGACTTAATCCTTGGTTGGAGCAGACGGTGACGGGGCACCGAGACGAAATAATACATGTGGGAGGAAGCGAGACAAACAGATGTGCAGACACAAGCAACGAGGAGCTACGCGCGGACGAAGGTACCCACGCAGATACAAATGCGGATCAACCACTAAGACAATGATGCAAAGACGAACAAGACATACACACAAACATGGAAGCTGAGGCGGACACCGACGTGCAAAGCACATGAGCCGACACAACAACAACGCACACACAAACACACACACACCACACACACACACTTTGCGTTGGCGCCACGACCGCGCGCGCAGCAACGCGGCGTGGTCATGCAGGAAGAGGGCAGAAAGCGCCATGACCTCGCGCGGCACCAAGCGGCTAAGCACACTGCGCGGGCATCTCACGGTGGGCAATCGAAAGAGGGACGAGCGGGCTTGGCTACAGACGGGACCGACGTGAGACACTGGACAAGGGAGGACATAGAAGGAACAATAATGAAGAAGGGATGGGGCAGGAGAGAGGCATGCTTCAAACATTCGCGCCTCAAAGTTTGAACATTTGAGAATGCAACTGAACGAAACAAAAAACGTCGCAATATTCGTCACGTGGAAACGCCTTGGAGATAAACATATACTATCCCACTCTACTCGTCAAGAGGCAACGCCTAGCGACAAGACCTTTCTACGCGCCACGCGGCAACGCATAGGGGAGGAGAAACTATGATTCCGCTCCACCCGCCACCTGGCAAAGCCTGGGGGGGACAGAAAACTACGATTACACTCCACTTGTCACGTAGCAATGACGCGGGGCAAAGAACTCACCATTCCGCTGTAGTCGCCACGCGGCAACGCCTAGGCGGACAAAAACTACCGTGCCCTGGACACGGAGTGAGCGTGTCCTCAGGTCCTTTGCCTGATCCTCTGAGCCTCACTCCTCACCCCTGCAGATGTTGTAAGGCACCTGGACCATTCGCTCTCAAATCTCCAGGGGCTTCTCGCGTCTTGTCGCGTAACCTTTTCGGAGCCACGAGGGGCCCAAGACGGTCCAAGAAGGCCCCAAGAGGCTGCGAAGACGGTCCAAGAGTGTTCCGAGTCGCCGAGAGATCGCTCCGAGACGCCCAGGATGGCCCCAAAACTGCCCAAGAGGCCCCCAAGACGCCCCAAGCGCCTCCCCAAGAGGGCCACAAGAGGCAAATATCATTGATTGGCCTCTCACAACAAGCACCCCCCCCCCCGTGCCCGCCCGGCAGACAGCCCGTTCCGACCCCCGGACGCACGCCGCCACCGGTGCACCAAAAACGACACCCCCCCATGCGCCCCGACGGAAGCCGCCCGTCGACCCCCCCACGGGGCATGCGAAATCAGGGTCGAAATCCATCTCTCCTCACGCCGCCTGCCAGACGGAACAAGTTGCGTGGTCTGGGGACCCAACACCACAGGATGGTCGAGAAAAACAAGGTGTTGTTGCTTCCCAAACAAAAAAAAACAAGCAACGCCTACAGTGGGGGCTCGGCCACAAGAAACCTTTGCAAGACACCCAGCACTGAAGTCCGCAATTCGTTCGGTGGAAATCCAGATTAGTCGATCGGCAATCGTCAAGATCTTATTGGGGGCCCATCGAAATCCAAGAAACCCAGGGCACCCTCGCAAAATCCCACTGGTTTCTTGGCAAGCGCCCCCACTGTATGCACATCGTCTCGTGGCACCGAGGACACCCAACACCGTGCGGTCTTGGCGCTCTTGACTTGCAGAAGAAGGAAGGAAGGACAGGCACACGAGGGGGAAAATGGGGCGGGGGAGAAAAAGGAGGCGAAAGGGGGGAGGAGGCGGGAAGCACTCGAGCTTCCAAAACAGAGAACAACCAAACACAGTGTTCCGCTGCTTCCCAGACTAAAACTATATAATAACAAACAAACATACACAGCGTTTCGTGGCACCCAGGGCGCCAAACGCGGTGGATTCATGTTTTCGGGGTTTTGCAACAAGGAGGAGGAAAAGAAAGGAAGAGGAGGAAAAGAGAAAGAAATGAAGGAGGAAGAAGAAACGGAAATTACCAATCATAAGGACGAGTTTGTGTGTTGAGAAAAGAAAAGGGAACCGAGGAGATGAGTAAGAGGGAGATGAAGATGAATCCGATCAAACATGTTATGCACGATATCAGTGGGGGTGCATGCACACGTGTATGTATATCTATATATATATGTATATAGTTATATGTGTATATATACATATACTAGAACCATCGCGCGCGCTTCGCGCACGCTCAACTTCTAGCTAGGCTTGATAGGCTAACTCATGTAATCTCATGTTGGTCGCTTCTTGCGTCCAGGGACTCCCTTGGAGGCCCTGCGCAAGCCTCGGAATCGTATAGAAGGGGAAATGCGGAAAAGCAGAAATCATTAATTTCCTGCAGGTATTCAACGAGTTGGGGCCTTAAAGGCCTCCTGGGTTCTTTTTGTTGGAGGTGAGGGGGTCTGAATTGTGGTCTGTTGTGCAAGAGTAGACCGGGGACCAAACTTGAAAAACAAATAAATTGTGGGATTTCATTTTTGTTTCCAATTCCTCGGCGCTGTTCGGCGCTGCTTTTTGTTTGTGCCTCGCGGGTTTTGTTAGCCGGGCCTCTCAGGCGTGTGGGATCTTCAGGACCCCCTGGGGGTTCTGGAGGCCTCCTGTAGGCCTGGAGAGCCGTCGGAAGGGTGTCTCGGGCTGTGCGGGAGCGTGTTGGGCCGTTCTTTACGTTCTGGGGGCTCCTGAGGGTCGTCTTGGGCTGTCCTTAGGCGCCTTGGGGGCCCCCCGGGAAGCCGGGAGGCGCGGTACCGGCCAGATGTCAGGGGATGTATGGGATCTCCGAGTAGGGGTCCCACTTTGAAGAAACATTGAATTCTGGGAATTCCCTTTTTTTGTTCAAAATCCTCGATCTTCGAGGGTTGGAAGCAGGGAAACTTGAGAAGGCGAATGACATCAGAAAGTCCATTGGAAATCAACGCTTTTACCCTCTTTGGGCTCTCTCGGGATGGCTCTCGCAGGTCTCTTGGGCTGTTCTTGGAACCTCGTCGGGGTCTTCTAGGAGCCTCTCAGGGATCGGGGGTGTGTTGGGGGGTTCTGGGGGGTCCCAAAGGCCTCTCGGAGGTCTCTGGAAGCCTCCTGCTCCCGCTCTTGGGCCCATCTTGGGCTTGTTCTGGGGTGGTCTGGGGCTGTCCTGGGCGCCTCCTCGCGAGCCGTCGGAAGGCTGACTTGGGCTGTTTGGGAGCGTCTTGGACCATCCTTTCGCACTCTGGGGGCTCCTGGGAGGCGTCTTGGGCCCTCCTGGGGCGCTGTGGAGGCTCCCCGGAAAAGCCGGGGGAGCGGTACCGGGAGCGTCCCTGAGATGTCACGGGGCGGTGTGGGACCCGGGGCCGGGGGGGCGACATTTATTTATTACATATACACATACATACGCAACAAAACATGGCAGTGCCATACACAGCTTGAACAACGATTGTACGCCTAAGGTGATCTAAACAAAAAGAGCTGCAAAATGAACCCAGAGATCCCATCTTCAGCATTCCCCCAGTGATTCCAGCGCTGGGGGGATGCGTAGTCCACCAGCATGGCCTCACCTTCGCTCGACGTTTCCAGAAAAGCAGGGGGCGGCAATGGTTCACCGCGGATGCCTTCGTTGACATTTGAAACAGTGGGAGTGAAAGTTCGTGCTAGGGCCTGCTCCGAAGGCCAAACGAGGTCACCAAGGCGGGAGCAAACCTGACCTCTCCAGCGCTAGTTTCTAGCTGCAGCGCTCGATGGTTGCCGCGAAGATGCCGACCAGACACAAGACACGAGAGGCATGAACCCTGTTGAGGCCCAACTATTCCCCCCAGAATCCCCGCACAAGCTCGGAGCTCTCCTCATCATCCTGATTGCATTCCAAGGCAAAGAACAGATCACCTGCCGCTCACCCTCAGCCAGCCCTCCGACTCCACATCCTCCCAGCAAGCGCACCCTTTTGAAAGAGCGAGATCGCTCGCCTGCGGCTCTGCATCCGGCAGGTGCTGTTCCCTCCTTCCTCTGCTCGTTGTTCCTTCCGCTCCCCCGCGACCGTCCTCAGCGCGATGCCGAGCCTTTCTCTGAAGGTGATGTCCAATCCGAGCTTCGCCCCAGGATCGGGCTTGTCGACGACCTGCGCCCACGCGAAGGCGGGAACGAAAGCAGGTGAAGCAAGCGGGAGAAGGAAACCAAAAGAAGCGAGGTTACGAGGGGCTGAGCAGGCACTACGTCAATACGATCAGGTGGGAACCGCGCAAGGTCTCAATATCTTTTCAATCCGCCGACCCTGTTGGCGTGTGTGAAGGGCTTGTCCGTTCAAGTCGGCATCTCCGTCATTCGTTGGTCGTCGTCTCTGTCGTCCCCTTTCCCTGCCTCCCCCTTTCCCTGGGCTCGTCGAAGCTCCCCCCTTTTCCGGGGACCTTCTCAGCGCGCCAACCAAAGCGAAGTTGAGCAACGTCGTAATTGAGTCGAAGGGAAGCCCCTTCCCTTCGATCCCTTCTCCGCCGGGGGTGGGGGGGGTGGGGGTGGGGGGCACGGTCGGTCCCTGGAAGGGGGGGGGGGTCAGATACGACGCCCCCCCTGGGAGCCCTGGAGCCCCAAAAAGCCACAAGACGGGCCAAGAGTGCCCCTAAGAGGCCCCAAAGACAGTGCAAGGAAACCCCGAATCGCCGAACGTTCTGTCCAAGACGCCCTGAGGGCCTCCAGGCGGCGCAAGAGGCCTGCGAAGCGCCCCAAGAGGCCTCCAGGAGCTTTCCCACGAGGGCCCCACGAGGCAAAACTCATAGATTTCCAAACAATGTCTAACCGATGTTGGCGTTCGCGTCTTTTCCGCTTCCCGACGCGCCAAGACGGCCGAAGAGGCCCCCAAGATCGCCCCGAGACGGCCCAAGAGGCCCCCAAGAGGGTCCCCTAACGGCCGAAGAGGACCCCAAGACGGCCCAAGACGCCTCCAAGACGGCCCAAGACGCCTCCAATATTTATTGCCCCAAGGCAGCCCAGGAGAGCCCCAAATTGCCTTCCAAGAGTGCCTCGAGACGGCGCAATAGGAGCCCTGGACGGCCCAAGACGGCCTCAAGAGAGCCCCAGGCTGTCACAAGGAAGCCTCTGGCCTCCTCCTCCTCCTCCTCCTCCTCCTCCTCCTCCTCCTCCTCCTCCTCCTCCTCCTCCTCCTCCTCCTCCTCCTCCTCCTCCTCCTCCTCCTCCTCCCCCCCCCTCTGCTCCCCCTCCTCCTGCTCTCCTCTGCCTCCTTCTCCTCCTCTTGCTTCTCCTCCACATCCTTCTCCCCCCTCCTCCTCCCTCATCCACCTCCCCCACCCTCCCTCCACCTCCCATTCATCGTCCCCCCCCTGCCCCCCCTCGTTTTCAGCTTTGTCGTTCTCAGGGTCGGCGGCACTGGCCGTAAGGCCTTCGCAATAATGGGAAACTACTTTCTTCCGCGGGCTTATAGACGGATTGGGATTCCGGCAACCGTTGAAATTAATGATTGAACTGCAGCCATCGCCCAGGCCTCGGCTGTAGTCACGCCGCCGCCGCCGTCGTCGTCATCGCACTCGCACAATTTCCCTCTGGTATCCCTACTGCTACTGCTCCTCACCCACTAACTGGCCTCTCAGGCCGAGCCGGGGACGCCCGTTGTGTGGGAGGGAAGGGGCGAGGACGAGGAGGGGAATGACGCGGAGGGGAAGGACGAGTTCGATTCCCAGCCGAGAGCCTCGAGGGGGGGTCCCCTTAACATCAAAGACCCTCTGAGGTTACGGAAAGGGAAGACGATGAGGAAACTCGGGTGGTGCAAAGCACAGCTGTACGCTAGCAAACACACGTGAATACCTTAAGGCGATAGAATATGTTCCGGAACATAATCACCTACGACCTGGGGCCCCAGCAAGACTGCAGCGGTGCGATCGCGAGGTCTCCCGGAAGGGTGCGGTGCGCGTGGTGGCCATGAACTAATGGGATGGGGATGCGGATGCACAGGGAGAGAGGGGGATGGCATGGGGGGGAGGGAGGGGGATAAGGATGAGGAGGGAGAGTGAGGGAGGGGGCGGAAATCATGATGAGGTGGGAGATCGTGTAGGACAGCCCCAAGGGGAAGAGTCTCGCGAGCCTCAGCGAGCCCGCGGGGACCTGACCACTACCTGAGGTGCCAAGTCCCCGACCACGCCGACGACGAGATCGAAGAATGCGAACTAGGGGAACAACAAGTGGCATAAACATAAAACCTCGGAGGTCCGCGCGGATTTCTCGGATCGGCGCTGGGGCCCCCCGGCGGCGCCTCGGGCGCCGCCCCTGGCGCGCTCCGCGCGCCAAGGAGGCCGATCCGAGCAATCCGCGCGGACCTCCGAGTTTTTGTCTATGCTATTATTTGTTCTCCTACGAACGAATAGCGGCAATGCGCGCGGGGGCGAAACGACCACGGTCCACTCCGTGCCCTCGAGCGCCCTCGGCATCGTGTCGGCGGGGGCGCGCGGGGCAACCGCAGGCGTCCTCGAGAAAGTCACCAAAAACTCAGCTGGGGAAAAGAGAACGGCACGACCCTATATTGTGCAATATCATTAGGTCGGGCCTGGCCCCATACGGGGGGATTTTCGACGAAAAACCAAACATAGAAAAACATAAAAAAAGGCCAGGCATACTCAAACGATAATCCCCGTACTATTGTTGGACCGTTTTTGAATATTCCCCCTGTAGAGGGTAGGCCCGCCATGCGAGACAGACAGTGCGTTGGACAAACTGCCACCAACAAAGAGCGATACGAATTCACCTCAAGACTGTATCGGCGCCACCGGCCGGAGGGGCGTAGGCGAGCTGGCAGAGCCGTGGACAGGTCGTGGCAGCCGAGCAATCGCGCGGCGGACAAGAGGGCTCAACTTCCCGGGAAAACTCAGTTACCGTGGCGAAAAAACCCACCGACCCGGTCTGCGGACATTCGGCTACACGCAAGAGTGACCGTGGGTAAGAGTGACCTTTGGTGCGCGGTTTTTTGGGGGCCGCGGGGGGGCCAAACTCAGGCGCGCAGGACGCGAATATCGCATCGCAATCGATGATCGGGGGGCCCCATTGTGCCCGCACCCAAGGCCACTCCGGCGAAAGATCACTCTTACCTGTAGTCGAAACATGGAGACGACCGACGCGACCCGGCGTGGCTCCCCATCGGGCCACGAAACGTCTGAGGGGTCAGCCGAAATGGTGCAGACACCAATGCGAATTTTGCCACTGGGGCCCTCGGTGGAACCCGATCTCGCCGGGGCCATCTGGGATGGCGCGCGCAGGATAAGACTCGTGGGGCCCGAGGGCGGACGGGGGCGATGTCGCGAGGGCAGAGTCGGCGCGCCGATGGGCGGCCCAGCGCCCCGTTTGGCCGGATGGGGCCAAATACATTGCAAGGGCAGAGCCTAACCCCCGCCCGGGGTCGCGGGATCGAGTCCCCCTTCCCAATTGAACATTTTAAATCACGAACGGTGTGCTGACCCGAAAATGAGCAAACGGCACGGGACCTCCTCGAAAAAAACTTTCGGGTTCGGTCATGCGACGACCCGATAAGTTTATCGACCTATCTGAACTTGGCCAAAACAGTAGGACGTGTGCCAAACAAATATTTCGGGTCCACTTCAAGCGACCCGAAAATGCGCAAACCGCCTAGGAGTTGTCGCACAACTATTGATCTCGAGGTCTTGGGGTCCACTCCGAAGAAGCCGAACATGGGCAAACTGCCTAGAACATCCTATGGCAAACGGTTTCTCGGTGGTTCCGGGTCTCGTCCGAAGGAGCCGCCGATGGGCCGACCGTTCAGGACTTCCTGCACAATAAACGGTTTCCCGGGTGAGCCACTGTCAAACGGGAGCGCGCCCTTTGCGGGATCGGGGTTCGCACGGGGGCGCGGCTGCTCGCGCCTGTCCAGGAGGCACGCGTTGCCGCGCCCTTCCAGCAGAACGTTTGCTCTGCATTCGCGCGGCGCCGTGCCTCTCAAATCGGAATAAACTTCCGGAGCGCCGATGTATGTGCCACGGAACGTGTGAAGGGTGTCCCAAAATGAGGCTGTTACAAATGTGAACAGTGCCACTGGGGCTCTCGGTGGAGCCCCCCATGGGGCCACGAAGAGTGTGAGGGGTGTCCCGACATGGAGCGTGTACCCATGCGAACCCTGCCACTGGGGCCCTTGGTGGAGCTCCTTCTGGGGCCACGAAGCGTGTGAGGGGTCAGCCGAACTGGGGCGAGTGCACGTGGGAACCCTGCCGCTGGGGCCCTCGCTGGACCCCCCTGTATGGAGCCACGAAGCGCGAGGGGGGTCCGCCGAAACGGGGCGGGTGCCACCGGGGCCCTCGGTATAGCTCTTCACGCGAAACCTGTCACGGGGTACCTCGGTGGAGCTATGGGGCCACGAAGCGTGTGAGGGGTCTGCCGAAATTCAGAAAAGGCAAAAGAGAGGAGGAGGAGGAGGAGGAGGAGGAGGAGGAGGAGGAGGACGAAACCTCCTGCACTGCTAGAACCGTCGCTGCAGCCTTCGGTGGAACTCCCTGGGGGGGTCCGATCCGTGTGAGGGGTGTCACGAACACGTGATCATAATGATGAGGGTGGTCATTTATATAAAGGTGATGATGTTGACGAGGAGGAGGAGGAGGGAGAAGAGGAGGAACGGAGGAGGAGTGGGAGGAGCAGGAGGAGCAGCAGGAGTAGGAGGAGTAGGAGGAGTGGGAGGAGGAGGAAGAGGAGGAGGAGGAGGAGGAGGAGGAGGAGGAGGAGGAGGAGGAGGAGGAGGAGGAGGAGACGCGCGGCGCTGCGGATTCAGAACGAGGACCCAAGTCCACAAAAGGGTTGGGGAATCTTGAACATAGAAACGGGTAGCGGACAAAACAAATGCCACATTGCCATCGGCACCGAATGGAAAAGGTTTCATCAATGCCCCTCGGGTTGCACAGACTGCATACGCATATCCACGCACCAAGTCCCCGATATCCAGAATTGCCGGGCGGTGTTGGACTCTCTGGAGGCTTCTCGCTTGGTCTGGGGCCTCTCTGGCCCGTCCTGAGGATCGGGGCCTCTTGGGCCGTCTTGGAATCCGTGGGACAACCCCAAGGGCCCCAAGACTCGCCCAAGGCGGCCCCCGAGGCTCCCAAAGAGGGGCCCAATGGGGACCAGGAAACCCCCAAATATAGGAATCCGAATTGGGCCCGAAACCACCAAACCAAGACGGGCCCCCCCGGGTCCATCAGGACCCTAGGATGCCTCAGGGATGCCTCGAGGATGACCCCCGAGAAAACTGCAGAAAAGTCTCCGGAACCCCGCACACAAGCGGGCCGTATCATAAGGATGCGCGATAAAAGGGTGCAAGGGCCTTGGACGCCCCTTTGGAAGCTTCTCGAGCGGGGCGCGGCTAACGAAATTAGCAAAGGATGGGCAGAGGAGGCAAGGATGCAAAAGTACCCTTGGGATACTTGCTCATCCTTGCTATGCGGGTTGACCGTAAGCCTACAAGAGACCCCAGAGTCCCGAGAGTTCCCCCAAGAGGCCCTGAGTGTGCCTTCCCGCAAAAAAAAACGTATGGGAGCGGTGGCGTCATGGGCCAAAGGCAGCTAGCTCCACCGCCCCCGCAGCTGCGAAGGGGTACTTGGCGTGCCAGATATTGTGCCTGTTGGTGGCCTCGGCCCGCGGAAAAGTGCCCAATGGCCTCTGGTCCCAGACACAAACTATGTATCATACATCGGCGCTCCGAAGGTTTATTCCGATTTGAGAGGCACGGCGCCGCGCACGCAGCGCGAACGCTATGCTGGAAGGGCGCGGCAATGTATGCCCCCTGGACAGGCGAGAGCAGCCGCGCCCCCGTGCGAACCCCGATCCCGCAAAGGGCGCGCTCCCGTTGACACCCGGGAAACCGTTTCTTGTGCGGGAAGTCCTGAGCGGTCTGCCCATCGGCGGCTCCTTTTCTTCGGACTGGGTCCGAAGTCCTCGACAACGATGCTTTTGCAAGGAGTCCTAAATGGTTTGCACATTTTTGGGTCGTCCGAACCGGACCCGGAATTTGTTTTGGCACAAATCCTGTGGTATTTGTTTCAGGTCGGCCGGTAAACTTTTCGGGCCGTCGCATGACCGAACCAGAATTTGTTTTTCGAGGCCCTATGCCGTTTGCTCATTTTCGGGTCAGTACACCGTTTGGGATCTAAAATGTTAAATTGGGAAGGGAACCCGATCCCGAGACCCCAGGCGGGGGTTAGGCTTTGCTTTTGCATTGTACTGGGCGCCTTCGGCCAAACGGGGCGCCAGGCTGCCCATCGGCGCGCTGACTCTGCCCCCGCGACATCGTCCCCATCCGCCCTCGCGCCCCGCGAGTCTTATCCTGCGCGCGCCACCCCAGATGGTTGCGGCGAGCGCGGTGGCGAAATTGGGGGAACTTTCGGATCGGCGCAGTATGGGCTGTTCAGTTCAAGATGGTTCCACATGGCACGATGACCAATATGGTCTCCAGGGCGATCCACTGGCGCCTCCAAGACGGCCAAAATGGTCACACGATTACTGAAGACGGCACCATTGGCCCCCGAGATACCCGATAGCCGTCCCAGAGAGCCTTCAGGAAGCTCCTCAAGCCCAAATCATAAATGCCGTTTCGGAATAAGTGAACAACATTTTCCTGGCGAAGGGCCCATACGTATGTATTTGTGAGCACCGAAGTATGAATACAGCTTTCGGTGGAACTCCTTACGGGGCCGCGAAGCGTGTAAGGGGTGTGCCGAAATGGGGCAGGGCCGACATGCGAACCATGTCACTTGGGCCTTCGGTGGAGCTCCCTATGGGGCCACGAGGCGTGGTAGGGGTCTGCCGATACGGGGTGGGAGCGCCCTGCGAACCCTGCCACTGCGCCTTCGGTGGAGCTCCCAATGGGGCCACGAAACGTGTGATGGTCGTGTCGACATGGGGCGGGGCCGCCATGAGGACCCTATGGGGTCACGAAACGTGTGAGGGGTGTGCGGAAATGGGGCGGAGCCGCCATGCGAACTCTGCCTCTGGGGCCTTCGGTGGAGCTCTTTCTGGGGCCACGAAGCGTGTGAAGGGCGTGCCAGAATGGGGCGGGGCCGGCATTAGAACCCTGGCACTGAGGCCTTCTGCAGGGCTCCCTATGGGGCCGCGAAGCGTGTGAGGGGTGCCGAAATGGAGCGGGAGCGGCATACGAACCCTGCCTCTGGGGCCTTCGGTGGAGCCCGAGCCCCCTTTGGGGCCACGAAACGTGTGAAAGATGTAGCGGAATGGAGCGGGGCAGCCATGCAAACCCTGGCACTGGGGCCTCCTGCGAGGCTCCCCATGGGGCCACGAAACGTGTGAAGGTGTGCCGAAATGGCGCGGAGCCGCCATGCGAACCCTGCCTCTTAGGCTGGCCTTCGGTGGAGCTCCCTATGAGGCCACAAAACGTGTGAGGGGTCTGCCGAAATGGGGCAAGGCCGCCATGCGAACCATGCCACTGGGGCCTTCGGTGGAGCTCCCTATGAGGCCACGAA